CCTCTTTCCACAGGGTAATTTCACCTTAGATTAACAGTATACAACCTCATGATGTTACCATGTCAATATCAATCATGTCTGAGTTTTGACTCCAAAATAAAAGCCTTTTCAAATTGCCCATATACGAACCTACTCTTTTAAAGATTTCAAATGCTCTAAAAATGACAAATTGCTGTTTCCACGGGATAATTTCACTTCAGATCACAGTAGTACAACCTCATCATCGGGGTACATAGTCAATTTCGAGTTCTTGATTTTGCCTATTAAGTAATGGCCTCGTTGAAATGCCCATTATGACCACTTTACAGTTTCAAATGCTCTAAATAAAAATACATGTTTCCACAGGATAATTCCACTTTAGATCAACAGTATCCAACCCCACAGGATACCATGTCAATATCAAGTCATCTGATTTTGCCTTCCAAAATAAAAGCCTTTTCAAATTGCCCATAGACTTTTAACGATTTCAAAATGCTCTTAAATTGAAAGATGCTGTTTCCACAGGATAATTCCACTTTAGATCAACAGTATCCAACCCGACAGTAAAACCATGTAAATTTCATGTTGGTCTGATTTTGCCTTTCAAATTAATGGCCCGTCGAATTTGTCCATATGTGATATACTCTTTCAATTATTTCAGAATGTTTTAAAAATGAAAATTGCTGTTTCCACGGGATAATTTCACTCAAGATCGACAGTGCACACTATCACGGGGATATCAAGTCAATTTCAAGTCGCCTTGATTTTGCCTTTCAAAGTAATGGCCCGTTGAAACTGCCCATGTATGACCCACTCATGCATTTTTACTGACATTTGAGCTCCAGGCACTGATATTGTATTAGTTATTGAATATTAGTGCCTTTACCCTTTAATGTCCTTGATGCTCAGTTTTCCCAGTCACACTACAGTGGGGCAAAAAAGTATTTAGTCAGCCACCGATTGTGCAAGTTCCCCCACCTAAAATGATGACAGAGGTCAGTAATTTGCACCAGAGGTACACTTCAACTGTGAGAGACAGAATGTGAAAAAAAAATCCATGAATCCACATGGTAGGATTTGTAAAGAATTTATTCGTAAATCAGGGTGGAAAATAAGTATTTGGTCAATAACAAAAATACAACTCAATACTTTGTAACATAACCTTTGTTGGCAATAACAGAGGTCAAACGTTTACTATAGGTCTTTACCAGGTTTGCACACACAGTAGCTGGTATTTTGGCCCATTCCTCCATGCAGATCTTCTCGAGAGCAGTGATGTTTTGGGGCTGTCGCCGAGCAACACGGACTTTCAACTCCCGCCACAGATTTTCTATGGGGTTGAGGTCTGGAGACTGGCTAGGCCACTCCAGGACTTTCAAATGCTTCTTACGGAGCCACTCCTTTGTTGCCCGGGCGGTGTGTTTTGGATCATTGTCATGTTGGAAGACCCAGCCTCGTTTCATCTTCAAAGTTCTCACTGATGGAAGGAGGTTTTGGCTCAAAATCTCACGATACATGGCCCCATTCATTCTGTCCTTAACACGGATCAGTCGTCCTGTCCCCTTGGCAGAAAAACAGCCCCATAGCATGATGTTTCCACCCCCATGCTTCACAGTAGGTATGGTGTTCTTGGGATGCAACTCAGTATTCTTCTTCCTCCAAACACGACGAGTTGAGTTTATACCAAAAAGTTCTACTTTGGTTTCATCTGACCACATGACATTCTCCCAATCCTCTGCTGTATCATCCATGTGCTCTCTGGCAAACTTCAGACGGGCCTGGACATGCACTGGCTTCAGCAGCGGAACACGTCTGGCACTGCGGGATTTGATTCCCTGCCGTTGTAGTGTGTTACTGATGGTGACCTTTGTTACTTTGGTCCCAGCTCTCTGCAGGTCATTCACCAGGTCCCCCCGTGTGGTTCTGGGATCTTTGCTCACCGTTCTCATGATCATTTTGACCCCACGGGATGAGATCTTGCGTGGAGCCCCAGATCGAGGGAGATTATCAGTGGTCTTGTATGTCTTCCATTTTCTGATGATTGCTCCCACAGTTGATTTTTTCACACCAAGCTGCTTGCCTATTGTAGATTCACTCTTCCCAGTCTGGTGCAGGTCTACAATACTTTTCCTGGTGTCCTTCGAAAGCTCTTTGGTCTTGGCCATGGCGGAGTTTGGAGTCTGACTGTTTGAGGCTGTGGACAGGTGTCTTTTATACAGATGATGAGTTCAAACAGGTGCCATTCATACAGGTAACGAGTGGGGGACAGAAAAGCTTCTTACAGAAGACGTTACAGGTCTGTGAGAGCCAGAGATTTTCCTTGTTTGAGGTGACCAAATACTTATTTTCCACCCTAATTTACGAATAAATTCTTTACAAATCCTACCATGTGGATTCATGGATTTTTTTTTCACATTCTGTCTCTCACAGTTGAAGTGTACCTCTGGTGCAAATTACTGACCTCTGTCATCATTTTAAGTGGGGGAACTTGCACAATCGGTGGCTGACTAAATACTTTTTTGCCCCACTGTAGCTGAGTATTTTGATACTAACACATATTGGGTTTTCATTTTGAAAAGCACAAATCAGACTCAATTGATTATGACAGAATTGAATCATAAAGATGATGTAAAAGGAAGCTGAAATTGCCACTAGGTTGTAATTGATAGTACGTTCATATTTCAAGTCTGTGGAAAGATGTCATTCTAAATAAAGAAATTACAAAACAGCTTGCAAACCATTTCCAGGGCGATTATTTTTAAATCCAAAACAAGAAAGACTTGATTTTCACAGTGTACAACTTTGAGGGAGTATATTATTGATTTAGAGAAAAATTAGTCCATGGGAACAGGGATTTTCCTATTTAACAGCATTCTGAAGTCACCGAAAAGTATGGTCACCAACTCCACTGTTAGATTATATGCAATGATATGTGTTGGCATGAACTGGTATTAATTCATAGAAGCTGGAACTTTCCATTTAATGCCATTCTGAAGTTATGGAAAGAAGCTCCTATAAACAAAGTGAAATGCAAAACGAGATTGATTTGAGATTGAGATGTTACCACTGTAGAGGTTGTGTATGGTTTGCATGAACTCCAGTTACTTAGTGGAAACAGTAATTTGTCCTGTTAACAGCATCGCGTTTAATTATTAAAAGTACCAAATAAACAATTATAATTACGATATTGACGTGATAAAACTGTGGGGTTGTATACTGTCAATGTAGAGTGAAATGATCTTGTGGAAACAGCAACTTTGCTTTTAATGGGATTCTGAAGTCAGTGAAAGAGTGGGTCATACATGGGCAATTTCAACGGGCCATTACTTTGAAAGGCAAAATCAAGCACTTGAAATTACTGTGATTCCCGGTTGGATACTGTTGATCTAGTGAAATTATCCGTGGAAACAGCATCTTTCAATTTAAGAGCATTTTGAAATCGTTAAGAGTAGTATCTTTAGGTCAATTTGAAAAGTCTTTTATACTGGAAAGCAAAATCAGCCTGACTCAAAATGGATATGGTGTCACTGTGGGGTTGGATACTGTCAGTATAGACTGCGACTTGTCTGTGGAAACGTGAATTTTCCATTCTGAATTATTTGAAAGAGTGTTCAAAAATAAACATTCAGAGGGCTTTTACTTTGAAATCCAAAAGGAGATGGCTTTAATATTGACATGTTGCTACTAGAATACTAGGGTATGTCATTTGTATCCAACATTAGAGTGTGTGCAAACAAGACTAATTGATATTTATGAATGTGCTCTTAATTTACTGGAAGTTGGCTTTTATTTAGAAGTCATGCTTCAGGATATTTTATTTTGAAATCAGGTTTCCACGTCTTTTGCCATAATACTTTGAATACACAGGGAACGTAAAACAAAGTGGAGGCTGGCTTGACACCAGTGAAACCTTTCAGTGTTGTGTCAGTGGCTTCACCTGTGCACACAGGTAACCTGCAGGTGTCAAGTACTGCTGGGACCTCTGATCTCAGTGTGTAGGTGAAGCGCGCTGTTTGTCCACTCTGTGTGAGTGTGTGTGGTGGACATTAGTGCTGCCGCAGCACTCTGTTGCATAACAGCTTGTCCTCTGCATCGTTCTGCAGGAGCTCGGATTAAATGCAGACTCGCTCCTCTGCAGTCTGAGCTCTCCGAGAGTCACGATCACCTTCACTGCTTCATATCAGCTGCTGACACTTTGATGGTCCCAACTAGAGCAGGGCGATATGGCCAAAAATATTTATCACGATATATATTTGAAAATTTGCGATAACGATATAACTGACGATATAATTGATGCGAGACAAAATACAACTCCACAACATTACTAGCGCAAAAAGACAACCTTCCATTTATTTTCACTTAAACAAGAAGCTGGTTTTTATGTACATTAAAGCTTTATAAAAATGTAACAGTGCAAATGCAAATTCCTTGCTGAAAGTTTAACCAAAAGGCATTTCCAGTAGAAATGGGCTGACATATCCTGAGCATAACCATGTATAATATCCACTGAAGTTAAAAAGAGGTGCTTTGCAACATTAAACTGCAGTGTGCAGTACGCATTTTTCGGACCATAAGGTGCACGGGATTATAAGGCACATTAAGCGAAACAAAGCAGTCAGATAAATCAAACTTTATTAAACTCATTCTTCTTGCTTCCTCCACTTCTGTACCATTGATTCATTAATGTTGAATTCTCTGGCAGCTGCTCTATTCCCATGTTGTTGCAGTATATTAATGACTAACCTCGTATTGTGGATGGATTATCTCAGTTGTTCTCCTGACTGAAGTTTGGTCCGTTTACAGCATCCTGCCATGCGATTGCATTTGTCTCTAACCATAGGAACCTTCACGTTAACTTTTATAAGTGGAAAAGTGTTAGTGTTCGTCCTCCAGCTTCACTGTTTATGTTATGCTAACATAGCTGTGTCGCTAGCGATCACGTAGCACATCATTATATACCAGCTAGCCCAACTTCAGTAACCCTACAAACGTCACTGCTGTTTAGTTTCCTGTCTTCATTATTTTTAATGGTTTGGCACAGCAGGCAGCCATCAGGGAGCACTGTGGGAAATCAGGACAATCATATCAGCAATAAAGTTAAAAAGTTGGGAAAATAATAAAAAATCCAGGAACAGTGTTCATTTTGATGACTTTAATTGCGGACAGTAGGTTTGACTGGTAACACAGCGCACGCAGTCTGATTGTGTTTGATTGTTCTGAGCAGTGGAAGTAATGAACAGTGAGACGTGACAGCAGGGGTCAAACTTTCCCTTTGACCCTCACAGCAAATCTGTCCAATCCTAATTTAACTTCGTGTTCTGCTTCAGCCGAGCTCCAGATTTTTCTTCTAGAGCAGCTTTGAACGTCTGACATAAAAGAGCTGAAGTGAAGCCAAATGTCAAACACAATGAGAAGTGATCGTTGCAAACACGGCCGAGCTTTTCCTGCTGTTTGTCATCTTTGATGGGTTTCTGTCCCGTTCCTGGTGGACCGGAGCTTTGTTGGGTTTTTGGAGGACTACCCTGAGGTGGCAAACGTACCGACATTCTGTACTTAAGCAGAAGTACAAATACTACTGTTAACAATCCTCCAGTAAAAGTTGAGGTACTGATTCAACTTCTTTACTCGAGTAAAAGTGGAAAAGTACAGGCTCTGGAATCTACTCAGTTAGAAAGTAAAAGTAGCTTTTTGGAGGAAGTTTCTACTTTAGTGCAAAGCTAACGCAAAATGATATCAGTAGATGGGACTCCAAACTTTTTTATTCTAATTATACTCATGAATCTTCAGATTCATGAGTGTGTGTGTGCGTGTGTGTCGACACTTTGCAGCTCTCAGATGTGCTGGATGCTGGCTTTGGATCATTTGTGAGGCAGCAGCAGGTTTAAATGTGCGTGCAGCTGTTTTTGTTGCGTGCACATGTGTGTTTCTGTTAGCAGTGGAGCTGCCAGGCGTCTGCAGCACTAATCCTGCCACTCCTCGCGTTCGGCATTCTTGTGGTGGGAGACTGAGAGCTGTCCTCTGCCCGGACTTGTCGCTCAGATTAACACAGTCACTCTGACTGATGACGCTTTTGTCCACGAGCAGATTAACAACACAAACATCTTTGAAGCCGACCTAAACCTGTAAGTGACGGTTTGACTTCTAATTCAACCACAATGAGTGTTTACAGTCGGTCGGACAAAAGTGGATCTGCTGTCTCGTGGGAGACTCGGCTCCCCGAGCTTTGCAGGGCTCGGTCTCTGTGAATGAACTGATGGACCACACAGCTCGCAATCGGAGGAAAATCTGCAGTTTCCCAAACTTAAAATTATTAAGTTTGAAGTGGATTTCATGAGTAAATGTGTGAAACTTGAGTGGGAGTGGTCAAAGGTGGCGAATCCTCTGTCGAGGATTCTGAAAGTGATCGTGTTGATGGCGGTGGATCAGGTGACTGCGGTGTTGTTACACGCTGCATCGCGGTGAGACGACAGAAGCAGCTCTTTAAATTTGCAGGGTTTACATATTTGGACACGACAGAAATAAACCAACCTCAGATAAATCAAAGTCCGACACATTAAACTGAGTTATTGTTTAATAAAAATCCGAGTGCGGGAATCCTGAGGCCACACGGCGAGAAGCTGAGCCAGGAGCTGCTGATGGTCATCAGGCTGAGCACGCCTGTGAAAGCAGACGTGGGAGTGTTCAGGTGTGCGAGGACGTGATGCGAGGGAGGAAACATCAGCAAAGACCTCAGAGAAACAAACGCCGCTGCTGCTCATCAGTCGGGGCGTTTTAAGGTCGTTTCAAAATAATCTGAAGTCCGTCGTTCTTCAGAAACGAGATGTCAGAGTGTCCAACCCTCAGGTTAAAGTTCATGACGGCACAAATTTAAAATCCTGTGAGGCTGTTGATCGGTGCAGTCCTGGAGTTAAAGGTTTTCCCTGTTCCTGTTGTTTTCCTATGCAGACACACACACACACACACACACACACACACACACACACACACACACAGAGGTCGGGTATTCATATCTTGTGGGGACATCGAGCTGACTGAGTCTCCAAATTGCCTTCAGACTCATGGGAACCAGGATTTTGGTCCCCATAAGGGCTTCCAGTCCCCACCAGAGATGGGCAGTAACGTGTTACTTGTAATGCGTTACTGTAATCTGATTACTTTTTTCAGGTAACGAGTAAAGTAAGGGATTACTATTGCAAAAAC